GTATCCACATATAGCTTATAGCTTGAGTTTGTCAGATGTCAGGCTCCCTTTTCCTTATTCAAGCTGTAAAATTGTGTATGCAGATACGGTTTCTCCTACAGCCTTTGTGACTGCATCAATGCCATTTACAAGTGCACAAAACATGTCTGTTAATATTACTTTTACTGAGCCATGTGTTGGTGGAGGAGGTTTCGGCTGTTCATCTGTGAATGCCTGCGACGTGAGTACGTAACCTTATTTACATTCATAACAATTTGAGCCTTCACCTTCTTGTTCTGTACTCTTGACACGGTTTGAAATTATGTAACAGCTTCTTGTCTACGGCGCTGGCCAAGTAATACCGTCTTCATTCACTGTCCTTGACCAATATCTCAGATATTCACTCCTTGTGGGATTATCTCCTAATGCTCAATATGGAAGGATTGTGTTGGTGATGAATAAGAGTGTCTGTTCTGATGCAGCCGGTAACAACTTTAAAAGAGCTTTGGGCTCGCGTTTCTTTGTCCATTTTGGTGAGTGTGTTTACACTTTTTATATGTGTGGTTTTCTTGAGGCTAAGGGATACTGATTTTGAACTCTTCTTGGCATCTAGATAGAAGAAATGTTTTTGTCGACCTACGAAGTCATGTCCCAGAGAAGTTACTTGAGCTAAACAACCAAACTAGGACGGTACAGGCAACCAATGAGAACGACAAGCTGAATGTTTACTTGTATTTCTCGGAACCGGTACTGAATTCTTCAGCTGAAATTCTTAGTCTACTAAGCACAAACCAAGGTGATTTGATTCCTATTCATGGGGAAACCAACGGAGATCGCCGTTTTGCATTTATGGTTGGTGCTTGTGCTGCTTTTTCTCAAGGTTATTTGCTGCTATTGTTCTATTTTGTTTCGTGTTAATCCCTCGATGTAACATTTAAACTCTTTTTTTCCAGGTCACAAATACATCAAAACGTGCTATAGTTACGGTGACTCTTGACTCGAATTCAATAAGAAGCAGACATGGGACACCTGCATCTCCAACTGCACCACTGACTTTCCTTTATGGTGAGAAAGTTACATATCTGCTTTTTTTTGCTTCTCTGCTTTTGAAACATGTATGCGCATGATCTTAGATACCGAGAGACCTCATGTTGTATTGAACACAACATCTGGTATGAGGACTAGAAAGCACACCATCCCTATCTGGATAAAATTCATGAAGCCAGTGTTTGGGTTTAATTCCTCATTTGTATCGATCACCGGTGGCTATCTTGATAGGTTAGTGGTCTTCTATTTCTTCTAACTTCTTTAAAAAATTCATCAAGGATTGCAGTTTTGATGCTAAGTAAGTGATTTACTATGGACTTTTCGCTTCTTTTGTTTTCCACCACTAAATGCCAGCTTTGAGGAACTGAGCGGAAGCATATACATTGTTTATGTAAAAGCCAACACCAGTAATATCTCTGTTAAGATTCCTGAAAATGTTACTCAGGATATCGCGGGAAACAAAAATCTCGCATCGAACATTCTAGAAGTGAAACACTGTAAGCGCTTTAACCACTTTATATCTGTTAATCAAGTGTAATTTTGTTTTTTTGCTTCTGCCAATGGTTTTCAAAAATTGTACTTGCAGATTCTTTGCCTGTAATATCTTCTGTGATATCTTGGGTATCAATGTACATTTTCTTGGTGACATCTTTCGTTGCGGGACTCCTCACTCTTTCAACCACAAGCCTTTATTCTCTCGGAGCATTTCCAAGACCATCTCCCTATCTGATATCAGATCCCACGAGGAACCTTTTTGTATGAGTTTCTACTCTTTTATGAGATGACACATATTTTGCCTTCGTTTTTCCTGCAAATCACATGGTAATATGTGGTTTGTGGTTATAATGCAGAGAACTGCCTGCCACATTCAGTTTTTTGCACTTTCGAGATGGCTACCGGTGACATTGCCTGTTGATTACTATGAATTTGTGAGAGGCATTCAGTGGATAATCCCTTATTTCCCTCTTCCATGGGAAACTAAGCACAACGAACAGATCATGGTGGCCTCAAGTCCTTTCATTGGTCCACATTCCTTCATTTCTAAAACTCACAACAATAGGCTAAATCCACAGACATCTACGGACGCTGAGTCGGTATACGGATTGCCACTCACCGCAATGGAGTACAGATTATTCTTTGAGGTGAAAAGAAACTATTATCCTCACAGCTTCTTCTTTGTTGTATTTATTAGTACTCTTTTGTTCACGTTTTGATACGGTATGAGTATTGACAGACCTCAAATCTTAAGCCAGAAGCAGAACACGTTCTTGGTCTACCGCATCCAACAGTGTAAGTCACTCAGTCCACGTTTATACTTTCTATATAGTATTTTGTGAAGATTTCATTTCGGCACTAGTTGCTTACATTTGGTTTAAGAAGAAGCAATAAGTGTTTAGTTTTTTCGTTCTTCTTTCTTGTAGGTGGAGAGATTTCTATAGGATCATGTTTTGGATAGCCATAATCGGAGGAAGTTTGGTACTACTGCATATATTTCTCTCTCTGATACTGAAGTTCAAGAAAGCACAGACTGAGAAGAAGAGGAATTTCGGTGCGTTTGTCTTCCCAAGATTTGAGCTGTTTCTTCTCATTCTCGCCTTACCCTCAGTCTGCAAAGCTGCCAGGAGCCTCATACAAGGTATATTTAATACCAGCCTTAAAAATATATCTGTTTAATTTAACACAAGACACTTAATTCTCTCTTTCTCAGGCTATTTCAAACGTCAAGGAGCTGCAGAAGCCAGTGTCATTGTTGGTATCCTTGTGCTTTGCGTCATTGCTATTGTGCTCCTGGCATTGTTTCTTTTCCTCTCGGTCGGGATAACTTTTGGGAAGTTGTTACAGTACAAAGAGATTCATCAAGAAGGCCAGAATTTCCACTGGTATCAAGAACTCATTCGGGTAACCCTTGGTCCTGGAAAGAGAGGCCAATGGACATGGAAAAGAGAAGAGAACTCTGTCTATCTCACTAGGTTAGGTCCGGTTTTCGAAGATTTAAGGGGTCCACCAAAGTACATGCTCACACAGATCTCCGGAAGCAATCCACTCAAGCAACGAGATGATCGCATCATCGCATCAGATGATGAAACAGAAGATGCTGAAGCTCCTTGCATACAGAAACTGTTTGGAATCCTTAGAATTTACTACACATTTCTCGAAACTGTGAAGAGGGTGTGTTTGGGAATCATTGCTGGTGCTTTCTCGGACAATGAAACTTCAAAAACTCCTATAGTGGTCTTGTTGAGCATCACCTCTTTTCAGCTGTTCTTCCTTGTTCTGAAGAAGCCTTTCATCAAGAAAAAGGTACAGCTTGTAGAGATAATCTCTATAGCATGCCAAGTCGGTGTATTCGCCTCATGTCTAATGCTATTGGCGAAAGACTTGCAAGAGGACTGCGGAAAGAAACTCGGGATACTCATGGTCATATTGTTCTTGATTGGGTTCATTACGCAGATGTGCAACGAATGGTACGCATTGTACAAACAGACCAAACGGTTAGACCAGATCAACAGATCCTTCTTGAGCGGTCTCAAGATGTTTATCATTGGACTTGCCGCGTTAATCCTTCCTCAGAAACTAATGAAGAACAAGATCCCTGCGGCTCAACTAGAAGGAAGAAGTAGCAGCAATGGAGGAGGCACTCCTTTCTCAACAGCAGATAACAGGTATAGAACTTCATCCGGAAGCCGAAGCTCGGGTAGCTTAGACAAGCCATGGTTGAGACAGATCAGAGAAATGGCAAAGGCTAGCTTCACGAGAGACAGTAAGGTTCCCAGTGATCCATCGGGGAGCAAAAGCGGTTGGAGCAGTAGTGTATGGGGGGGAACAAAGACAAGTGGAAGCTCTTCTAAGGACACATCTTCTGATTACAAATCCAGACCTAAAGGACTTTACAAAGATTTAGAGGCCATTTTTGCTTCAAAATGAGATATGTGGTAGTCTTGTTCTATGCGGTTGCTCTTGGTTTCAATCTTATGGGTTTGAGGACTACTTTGATACATTTACCATTTTTAATAACAATAAGATTGAACCGGGGTCGTCCAAAATTGGCAAAATTACCTTAATTAATCGAATTTTACTACCAAATGATGGATTTACAAGATTTGATGTTTAATTCAAGGGCCACATAAATCGACAATATTACTAGTTTAT